TAGTAGTAGTAGTAGTAGTAGTAGTAGTATTAGTAGTAGTAGTAGTAGTAGTAGTAGTAGTAGTAGTAGTAATAGTCGTTGTAGTAGTAATCGTAGTAGTAGTAGTAGTAGTAGTAGTAGTAGTAGTCGTAGTAGTAGTAGTAGTAGTCGTAGTAGTCGTAGTAGTAGTCGTAGTAGTCGTAGTAGTAGTAGTAGTAGTAGTAGTAGTAGTAGTAGTAGTAGTAGTAGTAGTAGTAGCAGTAGTAGTGGCATCAGTAGTAATAGTGGTAACCGTTAAGCATCGGAGTATCACAATCGTAGTCTGGTGCGGTAGTTGTCGTAGCCGTTGTCATAAACGTAGTTGTTATGATGTGCGTTCTTCAACTTTTAATTTCTCGGCTTGTGCACCTTTCGGTGCTCCCCTCCTTCCGCGGCAGCCCCGCGCTGCCTCCTCCCGTTGCGATGCTGTTTTGCCCCGCCGCCTGCGGGCGCCCGGGACGCGTCGCCCGCCGCCACCTGCCCCACCCCTATCTGCCCTTCGGCCACCTGGCGCGCCCTTGTGCGGCCACGCCTCCATACCTTTCTCACTGCCAGCCATCTGGCTGCGTTGCCACCTCCGGCAGCCCCGCGCTTCCTCGCCCCGTTGCGCTGCTGTTCCGCCCCCCTTCGCCGGTGGGCGCCTGGGGCGCTCCGCCCGCCGCCTCGTGCCCCGCCTCTTCTGGCCCCCTGGCCAACTGGCGCGCCGTTGGGCGGCCGCGCCGCAATACCGCTGTTACTGCCCGCCATCTTGCTGCGTTGCTCCTGCCTCCTAGCGGCTCAGTGCTGTGCCTGCTCCTCGGCGCGCCGCGGTACCTCTGCCGTTCGTGGTGTCTCACTGCGCCCGCCCGCCAGCTCCAGCTGCTCGCAGCCGCCCTCCCGCCACCTTTGCTACCGTGGTTTGCCACGGTCGCCCACCGTTCGCTGGTCCTGCGCGCCTGGCTGCTGCTGCCCCCCCCCCGGCTGCTCATCGTCGAACTCTTCGACGTCTGAGCATTCCTTCTTCCTCTCGGCGTTCCCCCCCCCTCCTCCCCCCTCCTTGCCCGCCGGCCATTTCGCTAGTTAGTGTCCCTTTCTAGCTTCCCGCTGGAGCAGAGTTCGCCGCCTCGCCGCTGACGAAACAAGTCCTTCAACGTTCGAAGAACAACTCTTGTTGGTCCCTACACAAGTGCACATGACATTATTTCAATTGAAGTTCTTCTTCCTCTGAAAGAAAAATCTTGCGCCGTGCCCCCTAGTTTGCAACAGCAGCGGTTCCCGCCTGATATTTCCTCATAAGTCATTGAGGGATCTGGCTTTCGCTAAAGACTTCCTAACCATTTTACGAGAATCGTGCTCTCGCCGGAGCCTTCCTTACAATCATTGGCGAATCGCCTTCTCGGCACCCTGGACTCGCGTTCTCACTCGGGACTTCCCTGTGATGTACTCAGGGACCACGATCTCGCCTGAGACTTCCCTGTCATCTCCTCTTGCTAATTCCTCTCGTCCTCCATCTTCTCCCTCCATCCCTCACTCTTGCTCCCTTTCCTTCCCTCCTCCCTCCCTTCCCCTTCGCTCTCCGTTTTCCATGATTTCTTTGTTCATTGGCGCTGTTGAATCACGCCCTCGCTCGGGAGTTCCTCATACTTTACTCATGAACCGCACTGTGGCCGCCTGAGACTTCCTTGCTATCTGCTCTTGCTAAGCCTTCTTGCTCATCCCTCCCGTCCTCCATTTTCCCTCCCTCCCTCTTGCCCCCCTTCCCCACTCCCTCCTTGCCCCCACTCCATTCCTCCTCGCTCGCTCTCCCATTTCCAGTAGTTCGGTTCTTCCCGTCTTAGGGGCTGCGCCAAGTACGCGCGGCAAGGAAGGCAGGCACTCCCCCCCAGGGGGCACGATCAAACACGAAGAGGGCGGGCATCGAGGGCTCGGGATACGACGTGTTGATTGACACACGAGCAGATGAGAGCGCCCCGGGGAGGTCCAGCGCCTGCCCACAAAAGCCCGCGCGGACCTCAGAGAGGACTCGCGCTCCACTGTGCCGCTCCTGGCCCTCCGACCCTCCTCCTCTCCTGGCCCGCTGCACCCAACAGGCGGCGCAGGAGGCTCGCAGAGAAGAGGCTCCTCTGCCCGCGCTCCCCCCGCACCACCGCCCCGCCCTCGCTGGAGGGCGCCCGCTCTCCCCGTGCCGTGCTTCGGCCTCGTGCGCGGAGGCTCTTCGCGAGGTGCTCCCCGGGTGCTCCGGGACGGCCCTCGCCGGGAGGAGCTGGGCACACGCCCCGGCGATGCCCAGTCGCATCGCTCGCTCAAGCCTGTGCCGCTGCACGCCCCCCCCAGAGACCCGCGCGGCCGGAGCCCGCCGCCCCTCCCGCTCCGACCACTCCCGCGGCCGCCCCCCCCCCTCCGCTTCTGCTTCCTCCTCCTCCTCCCTCCCTCCTCCCTCCTCCTCCTCCCTCACTCCCTCCCTCCTCCCCTCCTCCTCCCTCCTCCCTCCTCCTCCTCCTCCTCCTCCTCCCTCCTCCTCCTCCGCCTTCCCCTCCCCCTCCTCTCCTCCTCCTCCTCCTCCTCCTTCCTCCCTTCTCCCTCCTCTTTCTCCTCCTCTCCTCCTCCTCCTCCTCCTCCTTCTCCTTCTCTTCCTCCTCCTGCTGCTGCTGCTCTCCTCCTCCTCCTCCTCGTCCTTCTCCTCCTCGTCCTCCTCCTCCTCCTCCTGCTCCTCCTCCTCATGCCTCTTCTACCTTCTCTTCCTCTTCCTCCTCTTCCTCCTTTCTCTCCCCCTGCCGTGCTCGATTCGCCGCTCGGGCCGCCCCCGGGCTGCTCGACCGACCTGCGCTGGCGTGCCGGGCCCACGGCAAGCAAAATTCTTTCGCCCTGGGCGCCGGCGGAAGAAAGGCATCCCGAGAACCCAGACCGCGCCCGCGGCCGAGTCCATGTTGATCTTCATCAAGGTCGTCTGGCAGGACGGAGCGGCCGATCCAGAGGTCCTTGGCGCAGAGGGGTTTCCTGGCATCCTCGGGCCCTCCCGGGGACTCCTTCTGCGCTCTCGTCGTCGCCGCCGCTGGACCCAACCCTCAAACTCTGGCCAGAGTGCGGTCCATGAGACTTCGGGGCGGATGTTCGAGGGAAGGAGGGGGGGGGGAAAGGGGGCCGATATTCCTATTCACATATTTTTATAGGGCCGGGGACCCCCCCCAAACGAATTTCGAACCCTCGGGCCTGTCTTGCGCCTCTCTGCGGCCATCCTGGGGTCATCTTGACGCCCCCCGAACCAACTGGAAGCGAAAAAGCGAGAAGGCCGAAAACATTGCTTTTTTCATATGGTTTTCTTTGAATTTTGACTCTCCGGGCCCTGTTGCGCCAGCCTTGGGCCTATCTCGACGTCTCAAGAGCTGATCTTAAGCGGAAAAGCGAGAAGGCCAAACACGTAGTTTTTTTCCCCAGGGTTTTCAGTGATTTTAAATTCTTTGGGCCCTCTTCGGCCAGCCTTGGGCCTGTTTGGAGCTCGTCTGGGGACTCGTTTGGAGTCGTCCTGGGGCAATCTTGACGCCTGAAAAGCGGATAGTAAGCGAAAAGGCGAGAAGGCCAAAAACATTGATTTCCCAAGGTCTTTCATGGCTTTTCAATTATTTGGGCCTTATTTGGACAACTTTTGGCCTCTGTGGGCCTCGGCTTGCGCCTCTCTGGAGCCATCCTGGGGCTATCTTGACGCCTTCCGAGCCGACCAGAAGCGAAAAGGCGAGGAGGGCGAACACATTGTTTTTCCCATGGTTTTTGCTTTGATTTTCGAACCTCCGGGCCCTCTAGGGCCAGTCTGTGTCCTCTTTCGGGCTCCTCTAGGGACTCATTTGGAGCCGTCATGGGCTTATCTTGATGCCTCGAGAGATGTCAAGAGCCAATCGGAAGCGACAAGGCGAGAAGACCAAAAACATTGATTTTCCAATGTTTGTTTAAACGGATTTTCAATTATGTGGGCCCTCTTCGGCCAGCCTTGGGCCTCTGTGGGCCTCGGCTTGCGTCTCTCCGAAGCAATCCTGGGGTCATCTTGACGCCTCTCGAATCATCCAGAAGCGGAAAAGCGAAACGGCCGAAAACATTGCTTTTCCATTTTTTTGTTTTTCTGATTTCCGACTCTGCGGGCCCTGTTGGATTGTTGCCTTCCCGGTCCCTCTTGGGCCAGCCTTGGGCCTTTCTGGGGCCTGTTTTGAAGCTCTTTGGGGTCCTCCTGAGGCCGCAAGAGCCGATTAGAAGCGAAAGCGCGAGACACGTTGGGGAGAAGGAGGGGGGAAGAAAAAAGAGGAGGAGAAGGAGGAGAAGGAGGCGGAGAAGGAGGAAGAGGAAGAGGAGGAGGATCAAGAGAACGACGAGGAAGGAGAGAAGGACAAAGGTAATGGGGAAGTTGCAGACAGAGGAGGACCAGGAATAAGAAGAGGACGAATAGGAAGTGGATGAAGAGGAAGAAGAAGAGGAGGAGGAGGAGGAGGTTGATGATGATGATGATGATGATGATGATGATGATGATGATGATGATGATGATGATGATGATGATGAGGTGGAGGCGAAGGAAGAGGAGGAAAAACTCGAGGAAGAGGGGGGGAGAGGAGAAAGAGGATGAGGATGAGGAGGAGAAAGGAGAGGAGGAAAAGGGGGAGGAGGAGAAAGAGGAGGAGGATGCCTTGCTTCATGCTGGACCAACTACTCGCCTGAGACGTATTCGCGCCTCGGGGCCCCGAAACGCCCTGCGCTGACCTCAGCTGGTGTTGTCCGGTCGCTCCCGCTCAGAAATTCCTCACCCATTCCGACTTGGCGGAGGCCCGCCCCATGTCCACGCGCACGCACGCCGCCTGCATTCGACACCACAAAGAACAAGATGCATGGCGCGAAGCGTCACTGCAGTCTTGTATACGTATATAGATATAACCGCCTACATATATATATATATATATATATATATATTACTCATACATATATATATATATATATATATGTATCTATATATACACATACACACATCTCGTAGAGCAGTCAGCAGTGCAAGCAGCTAGCTAGGCGGGAATGGAACCAACACATGGGAAATCTCGCGGCAAGCGTAATGATAGACAGGGAGACAGAGAGGGAACGAGAAATACCATCCCGCCCCCTCCTCCCACTCACAGGTGAAAAGAGAGGAGGGGTTTGGAGAAGGATAGCGAGGATGAGGAGGACGAGGAGAAGGAGTCGTAGTAGTAGTATTAGTTGTAGTAGTAGTAGTAGTAGTAGTAGTAGTAGTAGTAGTAGCAGTAGTAGTAGTAGTAGTAGTAGTAGTCGTTAGTAGTAGTAGTAGTTAGTAGTAGTAGTAGTAGTAGAGTTTAGTAGTAGTAGTAGTAGTAGTAGTAATAGTAGTAGTAGTAGTAGTAGTAGTAGTAAAAGTAGTAGTGGTAGTAGTACAGTAGTAGTAGTAGTAGTAGTAGTAGTAGTAGTAGTAGTCGTAGTAGTATGTAAGTAGTATTGTAGTAGTAGTTAGTAGTAGTCGTAGTAGTAGTAGTAGTAGTAGTCGTAGTAGTAGTAGTAATAGTATAGTAGTAGTCACTAGTACTAAGCCAGAATAGAAAGTCGTAGTACTAGTAGTAGTAGTAAGTAGTAATGTAGTAGTCGTTCCTATTTCAGTAGCATCAGTCACTACTACTACGTCGACCGACCGGTTCTACGTAGTAGTAGAGTTACTAGTACTACTGTAGTACTACTACTACACTACACTAGTAGTAGTAGACTAGACTACTTTAAGTAGTGTTAGAGCTAGCGCTTGGGACATGAGACCTTCCGATCTTTTAGGAGGAGGAGGAGGAGGAGGAGGGAGGAGGAGGAGGAGGAGGAGGAGGAGGAAGAGGGGGAGGGGAAGGCAGAGGGGGGAGGGAGGTGGGGGGGAAGAGGAGGAGGAGGAGGAGGAGGAGGAGGAGGAGGAGGAGGAGGAGGAGGAGAAGGCAGAGGAGGAAGAGGAGGAGGAGGAGGAGGAAGAGGAGGAGGCGGAGAAGGAGGAGGACGAGGAATACGAAAAGGCATCAGGGTCGACTGGCAGGAAGGAGTGACTGATCCGGCGCTGTTGCAGATGTCGCCAGAGCTAGGCACCTCACTGAAACATCGAGAAGGCTGCTGTTTCTTCGGCTCGGAGCCCTGGGGGCCCATTCCACGCCACAAAGCCAGCAACAGCCGACTCCGTCGGTAAACAAATGCCAGGGACTCGCCCTCCCTTGCCACGATTGTTTCGTGACGTGACCCCTTGGGGGCTCTCGAGCGCTTCTCAAAGGCCAATTTTCCATTGCCGTTTTTTTCGATTCGGTGCCCCAGAGACAGCATCCAAACGCCGAAGGTCTATCGGCCTCCGGTGAAGCCGGATCGGATCGGAAACGCATCGGCACGCGCCAGAATCGGCGCGGAATGCGGTCGGGGGCAGATCGTCTGGGATCGCGGCCTCGGACCCCTGGCCCCTGCAGGCTGCAGCGGGGGTCGGTTGCTGGCGTCGGGCTGGGCTGGCTCGAGATCGGGACTGGAGTCTTGGTGGATCGGGGCGAGCGGAGTCGAATGCCTCGCCCCCGTCCCCCCTCCCTCGTGCCCCCGCCGCAGTGTGGCCGAGGGAGCGCATTTACGTGGTACTGACGATGAGACGGGTGGCTTCATGCCAGCAAGGTGTGTGTGTGTGTGTGTGTGCGTGTGTGTGTGTGTGTGTGTGTGTTGCTGTTTTTTGTTGTTGCTGCTGCTGTTTGTTGTTGTTGTTTTGTTGTTGTTTGTTGTTGTTGTTGAACCATTATTCTAAAAATAATTTTGTTGGGGCCCCTGGTGCACGACCCCCCCGCCCGCCTAGGCCGCAGCCTCATTTTCATCATTTTCGTGAGGAAGTCTCAGGCAAAACGGGTTGGTCCGGATCCGGTTGTGTTGTTACGATCGGTTTTCCCTTGCAAAAAAAAGCTAAAGTGGACATTTCTTGTTCTAACATAACCAAACTTCAAGAATCCCTTGCAAAAAAAGGGTAAAGTGGACATTCGCGCGCGCAAGACGAAATCCTTCCAAAACCTTAGTTTTCGTAGCGATTTTAACATAAAAACATCAAAAAAACATATTTTTTATCATTAAAAAAAATGTCAAAATTCATCCCGCGCGCTCTTGCGGATTCGTAGGAAACCCAACACTTTTTAAACATTTCTGTCAAACGGGCTTTTGCGAGCAACTTTTTCGAACTTCTGCAACAACGGTTGCGCACCTGCCAGGGCCATCATCCCTGTCAAATAATACCATGCGGGACACATTCGTTTTTTCTTCGCGCGCGCACGCCGTCGTCGTCGGCCGCGGGGCCCTGAATAGTAGCCACGGTCGTCCGCATGCCACGAAGTGAAGTGTCCGAACGTCATAGGGCGGGAAGCTGGGTGTGGGTGGTGGCGAAGAGTCGTTTGGAAATTTGGTAGAGCTTGAACGGCCCCCCCACAAAGTGGGGGTATTGCCCGCCTCCTATGAAAACCCTGGCACTGGTGAGAACGGAGTGTCCCCACGTGCTAGTAATTGTTGTTGTTGTTGTTGTTGTTGTTGTTGTTGTTGTTGTGGGGGGGGGGCACAGCATTCGCCCTGCACCTGCTTGACTTGTGCTCTCTTTTCCAATCGTAGCTCTGGGTCGATCCGCCGACTCGAGCGGGGTGCGCGCTCCTTGCCCGAGCCCACCTCCCGACCCCCCCCCCTGCTGGATCCTGAAGTGGCTCTTGACGCCGTCCGTGGAGTTGCCGCGCACGCGTCCGATGTAGCTGTCCGGGGGCAGCGAGTGGGGAATGCCTCGCGCCGCGGCGGGGGGCAGCGAGCGAGCTGAGCGAAGAAGCTCCTGCTTTGCGACGTTGGCCAGGCTCTGAGCATCGGGGCTCGCAGCGCTCATGTGAAACATGCAGAGAAGGTGACCGCCTTCGGCGCGGCGGCCTACACGTTAGACCAACGTGGGCGCAGCAAGAAAAACAAGCAATGTGAGCAACACGAGCAGTGTAGAGGCTCGATGAGGCATAGCGTATGCGCTCACCTGGTCACAGAGGGGGTGATGGAGGTGATTACGATCCGCATCTGGTAAAAGGGAGCATGTGATCATGAGGATACCGAAGCGAGGTGACCAGAGAGTTCTCCTCCTCCTTCCCCTCCCTCCCCTCGATCCTCGGGGAGCGAGGGTGTCTGGGTCTCCGGAGACCCACACCTCCGGCAAGTTGCTGGTTGCTGGTGGCTTCAGGGTCTGTCAGACGCAACCACCCTCTCTTCCAGGGGCGTTTCCCCTGGGGGGGATCAAACTAGAGTGCGAAGCAGCGGACTCGCTGTGCCGATGCGAACAACGAAGGACGCGATGCAGTAGGAGAAGGGGATGAGCAGACACACCTAAATGATAAACTAAGGAGGCGAGGAGGAGCAGGGGTCGGTGGCCAGCGGTGCGGCGCAGGTGTGGGCATGCGGCCACAGTCCCACGACGGGAGCCCTGGCCCGCCGAAGCAGGAGCAGGGTACCCGAGCGTGGAGCTGGTGGCTGCCTGGGGGTTTCCACCAGGCGTGGGGGAGGTTTGCGCCTTCCTGGCGGTGGCCTTGTCGTGCGGTTCGTTTCCATCCAACCCCCTCCAATGATCCTTCCCTCCCCCGTCGTAGCAGCAGGAGGGATGCGACGTGTGAGGCGGACGGGCCAGGTAGCCACAGCCCTGAGCTGAATGAAGGGTGGGCACAGAGAGATATAATGACATGCGCGCGGTGGTGCAAGGGCTCCCAACTTCGCGCTTCGCGCTGCGCGAGGTGCGAATAACTTCGCGCTCTCGCGTCGCCTCCCAGGGGAGAAGAGGCGGGTGAGGAGGACTCGGAGCCGAACCGCGAATGACTTCGCGCCCTCGAGGGCGCCCTCGGTGATGTGGCAGTGGGCGGTGAATGGTGGGTAGACGGCCGACGGCAGCACCAGCGACGGTGAGCGGCGGGCGCGGGCGCGCGCGGCGGCCGCGCACGCGCCAATGGCGGCGGCCCCGTTAGGTGAGCCCCCGCCCCGCCTCCCCCTCGGTGCCCCCTCGCTTAGTGCTGGGTCGGGCATGTCCCCCTGCAGGCGGATTTTTGGACGGAAGATGTCAAAAAAGAACCTAAAACATACCCCCCCAAAAAATAGAGCAATACTCAGCAGATCCCCACCCGACTATTTTTTGACTATTTCGGAATATTCCCTCCTGTAGAGGGAAGGGACAGGCCCGACTTGAGCTCAGTGGCGGCAAGGTTGGGCAGGGCTGTCGGCCGCGGCCGCCCTGGCCAGAGCCAGAGCGGCCGGCGGCGTCCTCTTGGGGTGCCGGAGTGACGGTGCCTCTCGGCTCCCTCTCTTTCTCGAGGCCCAGGTCACATGCTGGACGGCCGACTGCCTGTTTTCAAGCGCGAGCTCCCCCCCCAAAAAATAAAAAAATAATCAAACTTCCTCACGGCCTCGACCGCTTCGTCTAGAGCAACCGGTTCAGCCGTGAAGCAAGGAATCGAATCGCGGATAACAGTTCCTGCTATGACTGTCGGGGCCGTCGCTGCATGTGCCCCTTTGCAGGCAACCGCCCCATGCACCGAGCAGCTGCTGAGCGAGTCCCGGCACGCGTGCCGCCATCTGCGTGCACCGGGACGTTTGCATCTGCATGCGCCTGGCTGGCGCCTACTTGGCATGGGAGGGCGAGGGTGCCGACTCAATGCGCAGCGAGAGGGCGAGGGGTCTGGACCGAGGTAGCTGAGCGTCCCTGAGTGGCGTGCGAGAGGGATGCGGGCGCGAGATCTCGTGAGACGGCGGATGGCGAGGCGCTGGCTCGGCGCGCGCTGGCTGTATTCATGCCGCGGCTGCCCTGGCCCTCGCCAGGACGGCCGGCGGCGCTTCCTTGGTCCCTGCCGCCCCCACTGCTCCGCCCGCCCATTCCACCCCGCAAGAGTGGTGGAGGTGGAGGCTAGCTCGGGGGGGTGGAGTGGGCATGGCGTGGTAGAAGTGGGCAGCCAGTGGGGAGTGGAGGGTTGGGCACGAGCTCCCAATGGATTGGCTGATGGTGGGTCCTTCGTGTCGGTGTTTCCGGGGCCCCACGGCCGTGGGATCATGGCGAAGTTGGCGGTGGCCCTGGCCGCTGTGGGCGAGAAAATTGCGGCGGGTTCAGGGGCCACATTTTGCAGCAAATCCACCAGTATACTTCGGATAAGGAGCGTCAACAAAGAATCGCGTCGGTTGGTTCGCATGCGTGGGTGAGAAACCACGGCGGGTTTTGGGGCCCTGTCTGACCGTGGGCGCACCGCATAGAATAGCCTGTTGTTGATGCAGCCGCCGTGGATGCACGTGGCACGTCGGGTGGGGGTGGGTGCGAAAGCCACTGCCGTGGACCTACTATCTTCGCGCCCCTTGAAAGTGCCGCTGTCGCAGTGTACTGGTGCTGCCGTCGTCTGGGAGTGGAGTGATTCGCGTGCTGTGCGCCGTAGGGAATGTAATCCAGCTGCTGCAGTCGCAACAGTTGGCGCGACGGTTTGGGCAATTGATAGCACAAGGGTCCGGGGTCGGTGGTGAGACAGCTGGTGGCGCTGACGCACCTGCTCAAACATGGCGGAGAGTTTGCGTCGCTGGTCGCAAAGTTGGCGCGAGGGAAATATTGATGCACTGGTGGGCCCGTGGGCTTGGGTCTGGTATGGCTGCGTGTTAGGCTGGTCGTTTTGGCCAGGGCAATGTTCACCCTCGTTCTGGTCCTTGATGGCAATCGTGTCCGAACGCATTACTGGGCATCTCGCTTCTCGTGCTCACATCGTGGGTCCCTGCTGGAGGCTGCTTACAGTGGAGGCCGTTCCACAAGAAACCTTCCTCGGGGGGAACGAAAGGGGGGGACAGCAAAGGGCAGGGTAGAGAGTCAGCGCACGTAGCTGCTTTTCCCAGCGCCTCCCGGCGTCGGGAGGCGCCCGTGCATCGAGGAATGGGCCCGGCGGCGGGGCCGAAACCAGCCGCATGCAGCAGATTTCGTAACCCCCCCTGTCCCTATCCCCCCGTTCTCGTTCGGCCCGACTTCCACAAGAAACCCAACCCTGAGACCCCAGGGCGTCCGCTGATTTTTGGCGTGGGAGCGTCGCGCTCCACGGCAAAACCTTCGGAACGCAAGCAAGCCAGGGCACCCTGGAGGCAAGCAGGGTGCTTCTTGGCACGGGCCTCCGCTGCCATTTGGGTCTGCGTCGGCTGGTTCTCGTCGTGGCCCCTGGGCCCGGCGCGGGGCCCTCTGGTGGCCGGTGCCTGGCGCGGGCCCCCTCGGTGGGTCGCGGTGGTCATCCTGGTCCGTCGATTCTCCTGCAGGGCCTGGGCTGCTTTCGCCGTCGCGCTGTGGCAGCAGGCTCATCCAGTAGATCGTGTGGGCGATTTCGGAAGCCCTGAACCTGCTCCTCCTCCTGCTCCCTCCTCCTCCTCCCTCCCCTCCCTCCCTCTCCTCCTCCCCTCCTCCTCTCCTCCTCCTCCTCCCCTCCTCCTCCTCCCTCCTCCTCCTCCTCCTCCTCCTCCTCCTCCTCCTCCTCCTCCTCCTCCCTCCTCCCTCCTCCCTCCTCCCTCCTCTTTTACTTCCGCCGCCTTCCGCAGAGCTTCCGCCGGCTTCCGCCGGCTTCCGCCGGCTTCCGCCGGCGGAGGCGGCCTCGCTTTCCTTCCGCCGACCTGTCGCCGCCCTTCCGCCGCGGAGGCGACGACAACTATTTCTATCCTCGAAGGCGATGTCCAGCTAAACAGAAGACACCATGTCCTCGAAGGCGATGACAACTCTTTCTATCCTCGAAGGCGATGACAACTCTTTCTATCCTCGAAGGCGATGGCCCTTTTTGGAGCGCACCGTGTCCTCGGCGATGTCCAGCTAGACAGAAGACGCGGTGAAAACTGCGTCGGAGTCCCTGTCGGATTTGTAGCGCCAGGCAAGCTCGACGCAGCTACAGATCTCGCCGCAGTCGCGTCGGGCTTCGTGCGGTGTATATTCAGGGGGGAAAGAAACACACAGACACAATTAATCATCGATTCCCGAGAAAATATGGGAAAATATGGGAACTGGGGGGGAAGACAGAAGCCCAGAAAATATTGGAAAATATGGGTAATATTTTTATTTGTGTGTATTTATTTGTGTGTCCTGGGGCCCCTTCATATATGCATCTCTGCGGTCCTCGGCCGCTGGGTGTGCCGAGGTGCTGCGCGGCTGGTGGGTGCTGGAGCGCACTGGTCACCGTCTGGCTCCTCGTTGTGTCGAGGGGCGCGACGCGGTGGCCCACATCTTCCCCGTGCTCGTTTGCTCCGGGCGTCGTGGAGGCAGTGCAGGATATGGTCGTGCTCGAGATGTGGGGAGGTCAGGAGGAGGAGGAGAAGGAGGAGGAGGAGGAGGGGGAGGTCAGGAGGAGGAGGAGGAGGAGGAGGAGGAGGAGGAGGAGGAGGGGGAGGAGGAGGAGGAGGAGGAGGAGGAGGAGGAGGAGGAGGTGGGTCCACTTCCCAGTCGTAGCACGCCTCTGGGTTCTTGTTGTTTTCGACGCCGTCCTTGATCATCTTGTGGGCGTGTATCCCGTGGTGCGGCGTGCTCGGGTCGTAATGGCTGCTGCTGATGGTGCTGACGAGCCTGCCGATTGCGTCGTGCCGGATGTCGGACCTAGAGGCCCGGCCTGGAAGTCCCTGGGCGGCTCCTCGAAGGGTTTCTGGGCCCCCTCGTGGACGGTGGGCATGGCTGCGGTGGCTATGGGGGCCTTGTGGTCCTCTTTGGCGGGTCCGGTTTGCAAGGCACGTGGTTACCCTCGCGTGTCGGCGGAATCGGTTTTGGGGCCGGC